GTGAGCTGTAATGCCACGGCACTCTACCCAGGGGGACAGCTTGAGGCTCTGTCTCAAAAAAAATAAAAAAATAAAAAAAAATTTAAAAAGAGTTGCTCTTGTCTCAGCCTCCCAAGTAGCTAGGAGCATAGGCGTCTGTCACAATGCCCAGCTAGTTTTTCTATTTTTAGTAAAGATGGAGTCTTGTTCTTGCTCAGGCTTAAGGGATCCACCACCTCGGCCTCCCAGAGTGCTAGGATTCCAGGCATGAGCCACCACGCCTGGCCTGTTGTTGACTTTCAATGAGATTATTTGCAGGGGAATTTTTTGTTGTTGTTCAGTTGTTTGAATTCTTTGTACATGGGTTGCTACAAAAAGTTTGAAACAGACTGTACTATAGTCCATTGTTTCACTTATAAGAAACATGGTCGGCAGCATCTTTTCAGATTCACCCATGCAAGTGTCAATTTGCCCAGATTATCAGAGTTGCAGGGAGGGCTTCATTTGTTTCTATTTACATGGATTTTGCATTTCTTAATTTTTGAAAATCTCAAGTGATCCACCCGCCTTGGCCTCCCTGAGTGCTAGGATTACAGGCATGAGCCAGCATGCCAGGCCAGACTTTCTTTCTTCCTGACTTGGTTAGTCTAGCTAGCAGTTTATCAATCTTGTTTATCTTTTCAAAGAACCAACTTTTCATTTTGCTGATTCTTTGTATTTTGGGGAATCTCTATTTCATTTAATTCTGCTCTGATCTTCGTTATTTATTTTCTTCTGTTAATTTTGGCATGTTGTATTTCCATCTACATTCATTTCAAATTTTCATCTTAAAGGTTTCCATGTTAATTTTGGTTTTGATTCAGAGATCTTTCAGGAGCATTTTGTTTAATTTCCATGTATTTTTATAGTTTCTGAATTTCCTTTTATTATTTATTTGTAGTTTTATTCAACTGTGGTCTAAGAAGTTATTTGCTTTGATTTCAATTAAAAATTTTTGTTGAGAATTGTTTTGTGGTCTATCCTATGGTCTATCTTGGAAAACGTTACATGTACTGATGAGAAGAATGTATATTCTGTGGTTGGATAAAATCTGTTTGATTTCATTGCCTATAAATAGCTTAATGTGGTGGCTTCCTCTAATGTCAGTTGCAGTAGCTGTGTACCTGGTGGGTGAGTGAACTCAC